CTCTGCGAGGATCATATCCTCTGTCTCTCTCAATCCTTCGAAGATCCACATGCGATCCTCTAATCATTCGCTCTCCTTCTCTCGGGTCTATATGAAACTCTGTTTTGGAGCATAAAAAGAGGCCGAAAATCTTTCTAAGGGAGAAAACTCGGTTTTTTTTCTTTCTCACTCACTTTTTTGGTCTTCTGGTGCTTGAATCGGTTTCCTCCTGCTGTTGGGAGAGAAAGTGAAGTTGTGGAGTGCTTTTAAAGTTTCTGTGTTACTTTCTTTTTGCTTCAAAGAGGTACATTCTTCCCTCTCCCCCTGTGTTGGTTGTGTTCGGTCCTGCTCTTTACCGAGCCCCTGTGCTTTATTTGTGCTCGTCTCTGTTCTCTGTCAAGCCCTGTTAGCATGCTAGAATAGGGGGATTACTATTTGCCTCATTCTTAAACATGTTCTAACTTACTCTTTATACATTTGTTATGTGGGAATGACATTTAAAAGCTTGGGGTGTGTATTTCCTTCTCCCTCCCTTTCTCTGTGTTTTACTGGCTCTCGGTTTTAACCTTGCCGAGCCCCTGATGATGATTTTAGGGTATGGTTTAGCGCTCCAGTTGCCACTATGCTTGTATTTGGAAATGTTTATCACTTAGAGCATGTGAAAGATTAAAAAAAAAAAGAAAAAAAAATATATGCATATATGCTAGAAGTTAGATTTGGCATGCTATTAGTCCTTTCTTTTACTTTGTTTATCTAAATTGCTGAAGTCATGGCATGTTTCCTATTTCCCAAGGCATACTTATGTTGGAAGTAATTAAGAGGGTGGTTTTGAAATAATTGGCCCTTCTCATGAGCATGTTAGTATGTGTACTGCGAAGCTTTCATACGCTTTCATTCAAAGCATGTGGTAGTTCTATTTTGAGATGTCTTAAAAGCATGAGAATATTGCTCTAACTTTTATTGTGGCTTAGTGTTGGATGTCTCAAATGCAGCTTGGTTTTCGACCCCTTGCTGGGTTCGGGTTTTAGCCTTGCTTGGCTCGATTTGGTCTTTAACTAATCTGGAATTTGATAAAAAAAACTTGCTTGACTCGGTTTTACTTTAAGATGGCTGGAATTTTAATTTCTGTTAAAGCTTGGGTTTTAATCTATGTTTGGACTTTGTTTTGGCTTTGAATGACTCGATTTTAGCCTCTATTGGGGCTCAGTTTTGCCTGATCCAGTCTTTCGTTTTTTTTTCTTTAAAGCATGGGATCTGTATGTTGCTGGCTACTCCAAGTCCAATATATGTGAGGGATTTATCCCCAAATGATTTAAAGTTGGTGCAAGGCGTGGTTTTACTTGTTCTTGGCCCTACCCGAGAGTTTGGCTTGGCCTTGGCCCCTGGTTAGCTCGATTTTGGCTTGTGCTAGACTCGGTTTCAACCATTTGCTGGTTGCGGTTTTTGGCCTTAGTCGAGGGGCTCAGTTTGGCTCGTTTTAAACCCTTGGGCTTGGCTTGGTAGGGGGTTGTAGGGTTGTCTTGTACTTCTCTTATTCCTATCTGTGAGCCTATTGAGGGGTTGCCTAGGACGATATGACTCTTCTTATTGAGTTTAAATGGCTTGAATTTGATTGTTGAATTAAGTTTGTCATCCCAAAAATTATAATCACTTTAGTTATCCTCTTATGTATGTCAAGGGAGCATAGCAAGGGAGCTCAAGGGAGCATAGCAGCCACCGGTGGCTCTTTTTGGTTGCTTTAGCCGTGAGCCTTACTTGTTCCTTGGGTTGCCTGTGGTCGTGAGCCTTAGCAGCTGTCCCTTATCTCCCTTAGCCGTGAGCTTTAATAGCTCCCCCTTTCCTGGCCGAGAGCCTTACCTGTTGTTCATCTATTTGTATTGACCCCGACCGTGAGCATTTATTTGGTTATATAGGAAGATTTTATGGTTATTTGATATATGAGGCTATTGATTAATTCAAAAGTTGGAAGATTCTGATTTCTTGTATGAGTTTGGGACTACTAGTGGTGGTATTCTCCGAGTCATTTTCCTTTTGTGAAGTTTGGGAGATTTCTAAGTCTCATTTTGGAAAAGCATTTGGTTGACTTGATTAATCCTACGTCTTTGGGATTTGAAAAATCAGCGCAAAGTGACCCTTCATGTTTATTAGGAAAGACCTTGGGCCCTACTTTTTCAGGTCTTTTCGATAGGAGGTTTGAGAACTGATATATTCTCCTTTTCGGTGTTTTAGATGGATCAGTGTCTCCTCTCTCTCACCCTATTTTTGTTCTTTTCTTTCATTGCATCTTGGTTCGGTTTTTGACGCTTATGTCCGACGCATAAGTGTCCACGTATAGTCTTTTGTTATACGTGAAACCATCAAGCAAAGTCGCAAGTAGTTTGTTTTGGGGCATAGGGTGGTGATGATAAAGGCACACCGAAGATAGAGCGGAAAGATGCACTATCCTATAACATCAAGATCCAGATATTTGATGAACAATAGGATAACGGTATCCTTCACCGAAATAAGTCTAACGGGAGTTGGCTCGAACCTCCTCAGATAATTGGCAGTTCTGCGTCCGACAGCGTAATCGACTTGTGGACAATAAAAATTGTTAAAACTTATTTCAAAAAGAATAAAAATATATTTTTCGCTATAAAATAAAATTTGATAATCTCTTTTTTGAGACCTATGTGCATGTCAAAAACATAAATTTTAAAATAAATTTTAAAATTGATTGTCCATATGGCGAATACCTGTTTAGGCTAAGAAGTAGCCCTCTAGGTGAGGTTCAAGACACATTTCTAGACGAGTGGCGGGTTCTATACATTTGGGTGACCGAGTAGCCTTCGTGGACCCTCGAGTACATATATATATATACATCTGAGTCTAGCCCTACAAGAGTGCTTGCGGTCCCCCTTTGCCTGAACTTTTAGTTTTATCGAAGCTTTGGACTGAGCACTCGTGCTTCTCTACTTTTCTTTGATATTTCTCCAAAATTTTTGAAGATTTTTACTTGAGTCTTTTCTCGTTGATTTTCTTGAGTTTTCGGTCATGAGTCGTTGTTACACTCTTCTTCTGTTACACTCTTCTTCGGATTTCCGGATTTCCTGGATGGCGTTTCTTCCAGACTTCGCTTTTTGCAATACATTTCAGCTTGCTATATTTAAGAAACGGTGGATCCCACGGCGTACAGGTTTGTTTTACATTTACAGAATGTTATACCATTCATGTTTATAGATGCTACTGACCTGTACAGCATGTTATTTTATTTTTGTTCATACCTGCTACTGTTCTTCTCGTACAGCATGTTATACTATTCTTGTTTATACCTGCTACTATTCTGCATAGCATGTTATTCTATTCCTGTTTATACCTGCTACCGTTCTATATAGCATGTTATATTGTTCCTTCTACTATACCTGCTTTGTTCCTTCTACTATATATATTGTTCCTTCTACTATACCTGCTACTGTGGCGTATGGTGTGTATATTGTTTCTTTTATTGTAATTTCTACTGTTTGTCCTGTACTGCACATTTTATATTATATAGTCTTAAGCATGTCTTCTTTCCATATAGGATGTTTAGAGGACTATTACCATAGGCATGAGGACTATTACCATAGGGTCGTTTGATTTGACATCATAACTGGACACCCTAGAAAACTTAAACTCGTCACGAGAATGAGCTTGGAACTAGCGCGGTAGGCAGCACGACCATCTTCAACAGCAGGACATGTCTTCCCCAGCTAAATCATTCCTTCTAAATCATTCCTTCCCTAGCCTTCCCTAGAAGTTAAAATAACAATCCATAGGATTTCGAGGTTGTTCGCCTAGCGCAACATAATTCCTCAACATTTTTGTTAGGTATTCGTATGGCTCTGATGTTCGATCTAAACTCTAACTCGTTTTAGGATTCTGAGGTTGTCGTTCATTACGACCTAAATCCTCACATCTTTCAGGCTATTTGTGTGATCGTTTCACACGAATGTAAGCCCTAATTAAATAAAATTGACAGGATAAAACACTTGAATATTTTTCCTCGAAACTGAAGCTAAACCATAGGGTAGATTGAGAAGTCACCGAGCATCTCCTCTGGATCTGTGGCATCCCCTAGTTCTTCTTCCTCCGAATTTTGTAATAAATGTTTCAAGTTTGAATCATTCCCTTATGCACACATCTTTGTCCGATTTCGTTGAAAAGTCCTATCATTTTGAAGTCCTTCAAGATAATTTTTCCTGATTTTTATCGAGAGTATTCTTAAGTGATTTCGGTCATTTAAGATATAATTAACTATAGGGGCTTGCCTTTATAGGAAGCTTTTTCGAACCCAGCTTAAAATAAATACTATTTAATTTTTTATATTAGATAGGAGAATTTGTCGGCAAATAAAACGGTTTCGCAGACCAAACGGACGTCATATATATCCTAGTTTATTTGATCGAGCCTCATCCTCAAGTCTTGTGTTTATCTCTTGGGATAAATACAGGGTTTGAGGTAAAGCGTTCTTTCATTTAAACTATGAAAAATATGGGGTCAACTTGATTTTTATATTTGATTTTAAACTTAAATCTATATGTAAATTAAAACGTCCTTCCGAAGCGGGCGACGGGATTTCGATTCCGGTGACCGACAACTTCTTATGGGCAACTCCTCCCCCAACCCCACTTTTTATCGCCGACACACCTCCTGTTGGGTCTTCAAAACCCTAGAGTGAACATTGTCAACAGTATCAATGTTCAATCTCTTTAAATGAGGAACAACATTCTTATGAAGTGCCACAAAATGAACCAAAGGTTACCACTCCATCTAGAGACCCAAGCCTACTTAATCAAATCAATAAAAGTAGGATGAGAAGCTCAAACATTGTGAAATTTAAAATGATAACGAGAAGGTTTGGAATGAAAAGCCAAGCTAAGCAAAATGAGATTATGATCTGATGCAGCATGATTAAGATGTTTGACATGAATAATGTTGTAGTAACCCAAAAACGCTGAGTTTCCCATAAATCTATTCAATCTTTGCATAAGAAAACCCCGTCGTCAAGTGTAAGGAGGGCCTGAATAGCCTAAATCATAAAGGCCAGCATCCTCAATATGTTCACAGAAACGGTTGATAAAACTCGTGTCAACCTTAGCACCAACCCATTTCTCGGATGGCGACATAATCATATTTAAATCTCTACCGACGAACCATTTTTCAGTAATAGTAGCACCCATACGAGTAAGTTGCTGCCAAAGAAGAAGCTTATCCCTTAAAAAAGAGCTGGCATAAATAAAAATAGCCCAACCAAAATAATTTTCCAATCGATAATGAATAAGAACGTATTGCACATTATCATTAATGATGCTGAGAGTGATATCTTTCCGCCAAAGAGCCAAATTTTGTTATTCACATTACAGAAATGCATGTAACCCTTGAATTTCTTAATGATGTTCTCTTTATGGATCGAAAGGAGAGGTTCCAAAAGAACAAAAATGTCAGGTTTATGGACCCTACATAAATGCTTTAAACGATTAAAGAAGTGAGGGTCCGCTACTCCTCTAATGTTCCACACCAAAATATTAAACAATTTGGCCCATGACACCCTCCCACCTAGCAAGCCTAGGGGGAAGGTGCAAGTGCTCGCCCTCCGAATGATACGTGACATCAATATTGTTTGTCTGTGTCATATTTGGAAGTTCAGATTTCCTTCTCCCTCTTTTCCTACTATATTTTTGAATTTGCCATTCAGATTCTAAAACAAAGGCAGCCAAAGAGAATGGATCCGGCTGTGATGGAGTAACCACAGAAGTAGAAGGATGAGTGATTGCTTGTGGGGGATCAAGTGCCTCAATTTGATTAAGTGAAACAGTAGGTATCTGAGTGGGATGTGGCTCGGGTTCTGGTTCAGGTGTATAAATAGGTTCAACATTTTTATTAGTTCTAACAGGACCCACACAAGTTGCATCAGCTGCTACTTCCACGGGGACGCAGGCATCAGCAGACTGAACAGCTAGTTCAGAGATGTTAGTTAGAAGAGCAGATTTCTGCTCAACAAAGGCCACACGACCAGCAGGGAATTTACCAGTTCGGGGTGCAAATGGAAACAATGATCAGAATCATGACCAAACATGCTAAAATGCAAACAGTAATGAGGATGTTTTTCAAGCAAAACCTGCTGTCAATAACCAGTATGACTAGAGCCAATTAAAACCTCCTCTGGAAGAGGTAAGGTAACATCCCGCTCTATTAAAATTCTAGTCATTGAGGGGTCTTGTCAAATTAAAGGTAGGGGCATCAAGCATTAAAGGTTTACCATACATGATAGCTATAGAAAATAAAATTTCGTGATTGAACAAATGCACCTTTAGACTTGAAAGTTTAAGCCAGACAGGAATAATAGGAGGCTCAGTCCTATGAAGGCCTTATCTCATACATATGTATATATATATATATATATATTAATTTAGTTCGCCTTTAAGCCTTATCTCATATTAGGGTTACTTTAGTAATTGGGGGTTGTCCTATGAATTATATTATGTTCTCTCATAATTGTTATATTAGAAGGGGGAGGTTTCTTGGATAAGTTTATTTTCAGGTTATCCTGAAGTTTGGGAAAGGTGTTTCCCTACCTTAGCAAAGAAAGAGAAGGAAGATGGCCATAAAAAAGCCAAGGACTCTGCCAAGATTGATTTGCACATTAAAGAGAGAACACGTTAAGTACCAAGTAGTTTCTAGAAACTAAAGAAACAGAAGTTCATGGAAAAGGAAATTAAAGTGTGACTGGGAAGTTCCGGCAGCAATAAGCCGGATAACTCCCCTAAGAAAATTGCCATTGTTTTTGAATCAAGACTCACCTTAAAGGTCCAAACAGAATCTCTACTATCAAAACTTATGATTCAATAATGTACTACTTGTTTTGAACATTTAACTACACTGATTTTCTTGAATTTACCTGCAAGTGGCTAGATTTTCCAGCACTGAATGTTGGTTGTGGATTAAAGAAAACAGGTTGTTTGGGTTAAAGAGAAGCAGAGCATAGTGACAGTAAGGAATCCAATCAGTTTCAACTTTTGGAATTCAAAAACCAAGGTGGACTATCAATTCATATTGATATTCATCTTATAGTGCCCGGACTTCTGGATTTGGACAGAGGTTGAAAAAAGTATATTTGCTATAACAAGTTTCTGGTAAATTAATTTCCACTTCTGGATCAAAATTTGAAAAGTTCAAAGTATTTATTTCTAGTGTATGGCATATACTGTGACTTATTTTCCTCCTTTAAGTGACGGGATTAGAAAGGATATGCTTTTTCATCAATTATATTTCTTTTTTAGCCTTATTTCATATTAGGGGTAGTTTAGAAATCAGAGTCCATGGTGTTATCAAGTATTTATATAAATACCCATTATTACATTTTGAGGGGTGATTTGTTTGCAGAATATCCTGAGAGTCTTAAGGAGGATTCCCTAGTTTAAGAACGGGTGGAGAGAACCATAAGGTGGAAGATTATATTGACGAAGGCTTGCTATCCAGCCAATTCTGAGAGCCAGAAAATTAGTATATGTGGCTCTCGTTGCCTTCTAGCCACCATGAATGAGAACAAGTACTTGCAACAGGAAGTTATAATGAGACTACATGATAACCACGCTCTTAAAGCCTAAAAATCATTTAAACCAGGTTATCTATTTTCCCTTCGAAGTTTTTTAGCAGAATCCATTGAACTTGTGACTCTGTAATATTGTTTGATTTGTTGTTAGCTGCAGTTTGGTTGGAAATTTCAATCAAAATCATTCAGTGACAAGAATCTGAGAAAATTAAGTGGGAGATCAAAATTTTCAACCTCATCATGAATCAAGATTTATGCCAAAACCACATTTTCTGTTCTCCAATCACTTGATTCATCCAATATTGGATAGATACCTAATTTTTTGTGTACTCTTCTGATGTCTGCGGATGGCTGGAGTAATTTCAGCCAAGTAAACAAACATCATAACAAGCCTGGAAGAGTGTAGTCAGTTTCACAGTGAAACAGGGCATATTCGTCCAAGTCTGCCTTTTCAAAGGCTCAATGTTGGTGTTTATTCGAGAACTAAAGTCTCTGTGAAAAGATTCAACTTTAAGTGGGAACCTTTCGTATTTATGTTAATTATCATCATGGAGTTGTATTCAGTTTAGTGGTAATTCATGAATTTGGGAATATCAGATCCCTTCTGAAGTTATTACTTTGGTAAGGTTTTGTGAAAGTGAAATTTGTTTCATTCATTGTAGTCTTATTGCCATAAAAATAGTGTCATCAAGTGTTGGAAGAATCTTGGAATAAGATAGTGTCATCAAGTGTTGGAAGAATCTTGGAATAAGTTGACAACTGTAAGAGTTTGCTTTTTTTCTTTTCTTCTTATTTTTTTTTTCTGTATTGAAGTATTGTGGTGTAAGGAAATTTTTTTGATGGGAAAGTAATATAGAAAGCATTAATACTAGGAAGATATGTTATAGTACATATTTTAGTAAAGTGTCAAAATAGTCACTTGACTATTTAAATGGGATCAAAATTAGTCCCTAGACTCCTTCAATATGGGCCGATATAGTCCCCAATGAGGACTATTGTAGCCCCTACTAAAAAAGCATAGAGACTAAATTGACACTTTCATAGAACCAGGACTAAAATGACCCCCCAACAAAGAGTTAGAAACAATTTTAACACTGACATTTTTATATATATTCACTTCTTTATTTCCTTCCCTTTTTTTATTCATCCTATGTGTCTGTTTATAGACACCTGTTCTCAGTCAATAGCTACAACAATTTCTCTCTTATAGACACCAGTTCCTCTTTTAACACTTTTTTTTTGTACATTTTTATATATTCACTACTTTATTTCCTCCCTTTTTTTATTCATCCTATGTGTCTGTTTATAGACAACTGTTCTCAATCAATAGCTACAACAATTTCTATCTTACAACATTGTCAACATCAACCCACTACATTTTGAGTTGTCTTTGAGAATTCCGAGAGAGAAGAACAAGTACATAAAAGTCACTAAGTAAAAAATAAACTAAATGATTGCACACAATATAACAAGAAAACATCATGCAAACAAAGCTCTCCCAAACAGTCCAATTTCATACAAAAAAAAAATCAATGATTTATTTCAAGCATCGGGATTTTAGATTCATTTAATTATGTTCAATTATCCTTTTGGCTAATTTTAGGATAGATCTGATTTTGATCTAATCTGTAACCCTATTTCACTATATAGGGGAAGTTGTGCCTCGTATTTGGGATGAATTAAAATAAAAAATTTCTTGTGATCCTCCCTAAGTTTTCTCCTTGCTTCTTCCTATCTATCTCTTGCCTCTTACATATTAAGGAATTAATCATCTACCCCAATATCCTTTTCATCTCTCAATCTTTTCAATTCTTTGTCCAAACCAAATTCGTCTATACTACCATTATGCATAACATTGCCAATAGGATACAATGGAGAAAAGGATTCATTTAGCCGACCCCACTTAGTGGGATAAAGGCTTGTTGTTGTTATTGCATAACATTGCCAAGTGGAAGTAAAAGGTTTGGCGTATTTAAGTAAATTAAACAGCCAAGTAATCATGCAAAAAAAATTAATTAATTAATGACTAAGTCTAACCCTTATTATAAATATATCGAAAGTCACATAGTTTTGAAGTAAAAGCAGTTGATGCAATCTCAAGATGGCAAACCTTGTCAGCTTGCAAAATTGGATGCATAGCAAATAATCAACATGCCAGGCAGATGGAAAAATATTCCAGATATCCTCATTTGTTCTTAATCTCCTCTTAATCCAAGCATATCTCCTTTCAGTCTTATCCAGCTTGGCTAGTTCTGGAAAAATAAAATAAAATCAGTAGATATAAAAAAAGAGAGAAGTAAAATTTAAAAATCAGTGCTTCAAGAAAATAATATAATTGTATTAGTAAGGGTATTGCTACCAGCTTATAATTATTATAAACCATAGCTATATTTGTATTTTGTCAATTTTTAAAAGCACATTAACATCCTTAATAACCTTTTCTATCTTCCGTATTGCCTCTTTAATGCTATACAATCAATTCAAGGTTCTCCTAGAACTTATAAAACAATATTCTAGATGGAGCTAACCATTCAACAAAATAATTCCATTTTGCAACGCTCACTAACCATCCCTGATAGATCAACAGTTGGTCACATTCAAACTCCACCAACTTATGCAATCATTTATTTTGACTTCTTTTAAACTCAAAATCTAAGTCCGTGAAAACTCCTTTAACTTGTCTCATCAAACTTTCTTCTAGGATCACCATATAATCTTTGGAATTTTTTCATCCATTTTAAGTGAAAAACATATCAGTCTGTCTGTGATTTAGTAGCTACAATTTTCAAATTAATTAAATGATATTGTCATTTCTTGAAATAAACATTTTCCACTGCAAGATCAACAGTTTCAATGAAATTAAATCTAATTTCTCCATTCAAATTTTATCTCCTGATCTATATTCACCATTAATCACTAAGCCTATTGGAACCTGTATACCCATTTAAATCATTCACAATAATTTTTTTCTTTCTTCTACAACATCATAATAGTTTATTTCACTGTTCCGTAAATTGAAATTTCAAACAATCTTCAAATCCTAATCGAGCATAAGCACTAATTACATTTATAATGTCCTAGAAAATAATCACCAGACACTAACGTATTTGCTTCAACAACTTTATCTTTAAATTCAAATAACCCCACGCACA